CTCCTGATGCTCTCTCCCATGCATCCTGTTCTCACCCACTTGGGGCTTCGAACTCCTGATCTACTCTGTGGACTATATCCCCAGCCTAACCCCATGCCTCATGTCGATCGTCCACCCTTTCGGAAATCCGGGGTCTATTCCCTGACCCGCATGTCTACCACACACGCTAAGTAACCCGTAGTCCCATGCTGAATGCACTGTTGAGCCCTGGCAGTTAACAAAACCCTCAATCTATCAATTCAAAAACCCTCAGAGTCGAGCACACCCTCGACCGAATACTCGAACTGAACTTGATTCTTGACTAGAACTCCAACATGGTTCCCCAACTTCTGCTATCAAGCACCCAGAAGACGTGTTCTTATGTTGGGGAGTTTTGCCAAACCCCCACTCAACACAACTCTACCAGCCACTAGGGCCTCCATTCTCCCTGTTCGGGTTGTGAAACTTATCCCCGTTTCAAAAACTCTCCCACTTCCACTTCTCGGGGTAACACTCCCCCACTTAGATTTGACTAAGCCTTCATAATACATGAAAATTGGATGATTCTCAATCCTTCTCACTTCCCCAACGATCGATCCGATGACAACCAACTCTTTCCCACTAGTGCTCCATTGCTAGATAGTCCCAATTGATCACACACTTCTAAAAACCAGATGAACACTTCCTGAATCCCAGTGAAACCGTCAGCCACTAATGCTTGAACGACCCCACACTCATGTCCTGAAGACCAAAAGATAAATGCTCCAACTAATACCTCGGCAACAAACCCCTTCCATTGGCGTTTTCGTCAGTCAATCACGAACGGTTGCTAAGACCACTAAGTCCTGACAATGCTGAATAACCATCCTATGGAACCCTGTCCGCAGACTTCCCACAAAATACCCCCCCTTTTTTTCCAAAGGTGTTCCAATAAACTTCCCGCTCTCGGGCTCTAGAAATCATTCTCTTCAGGGCTCGCACCCTGCCTCCCTTACCAGCTCAAACGTCCACAGCTGCACTGCAGCGGCTGAAACAACCTCTGCCCTAAATCGGGCTACAACTATCCCCAAGACATAATCTACAATCCCAAAAGTGTAATAGGTCGCACAATCAATCCTTACCGTCCGATACAAGAGATCCAAGCAAAACCGGACCTCACAAATATTTATGCCACGTCGACCCATCTGTGCTCACCGGCGCTGAAATAAGGTTGCCTATTCCTGCAACCCACTGACCCCGAGCTTGAATACAGCCCGAACCTGGGGTGACAAGTCTGCTCACTCCTTCGGGATCGAAAAACTAAGAGGGCATAATCCTTTCCCTACAAAACAACAATCCAATCCCTCAATAAACCATTCCCCTTCCAGCTGCAAAACCCCAGCTGTACATAATCATCACTCCTTTCCGGATTTATCGCGACCCATCCTCCGACCTTGAGCAAACCCCCAAGCCTCAAATCTAGAAACTCGCGTGCTAGCCTCTCCCGCTCCACCCGCAGAAATATACCGAGTACATATCATCTTCCCGATCTCAAATAACTGTAGCCCTCTGCCCATCAGAATATGTCTCAGAACTGGGAAGCTCGACCAACTCCTCCCCTTGCCGTCGTTACAGCTGTTTAAGCTGCCGCGGCAACCGTCTCGGCAATGGCTGCATAGCGCTCGTCAAAATACTCAACCATGGCGGTCTTAATAGACCCGACATCTCCGGAAACTGCCCCCGAACAATCTTGATCACCTACTTCCGGATGATCTCACTAACACGATCCCATGGAAATGCTGGCCTAGCTTGGCTGCTCACTCCCGATCCTAACCTAGATCCGGTCTCAAGACATCTCGAATATCCCATACCATAACTGGGAACCAACTCCCAACCCAACCCTAGGGGTTGTGACTTCCTTGATACGTGTATGGGTCCTGTGCTTTCAGTAGTACGGGCCCATACTACCTTCCACACCTACCCATATTTGTCTCAAGTATCACCACAACAACCTACATATATACATAGCGAGCGATAAACCCTCACTCCTAGAGGAATGCTAAATATATCATAACTGGCCTCCCGGCCTCTCACTACCCACCCATCCACCAACTGCCACACGACCCTCCATTGGTGCCAGTTAACTATTGCATGAATACAATCACATACCGCATGGCTTAAACAATCTTAGACTAAAAGATTTAATCCCACAACGGTTGGACTCAAATGAGAGCTGCGCAGCAGGACTAAATCCCTTACCCTAAGACCATTTAACCCATGTAGCATGTGACTTGGAGTATTCACCCAATAGTTAGTTCACACGTGAAAGAGTCATACAACAATCAATGAGGTACTCTACATAAGATAAGGTATCAAAGATCAGGCAATTCTATCATATGGTTCCTGAGGATCCCTATCTTATCACTAGCATGTTGTTCTAACATATCACATAATCAAATAACTGTATGGTATTTTGGGGTCTACTTACTGGCTCCGGTTGATCGTACACTTCACATCCTCCTTTACTCATTTTGACAACCATTTAAAATCATTTTGAAAATCTTTCCTCGATTTGAGACTGGATTCACACGAGTGTTCATCCAATTCACTCAAACCAAGACTCTGTTACCAACTTGTAACACCCATAAAATTCATGCCAAATTTAAACTTTTAAAACATTCAAAATACCAAATGTTATTACAAAAAGGTTTTCCAAAATAGTTTATTATCAGAGTATCCCAGAAACAACATCATAAAAGTGAGGAGCGGTACGATCACGCCTTTGCCTTGCCACGGTCTCCTGATGTACCTGAAACAATAAACTGAAACTGTAAGCCCGAAAGCTTAGTGAGTTACCCCCAAAATACCAACCTCACATAACCATAATCATATCATATTAACAAATACAGAACAGCCATGCATCTCGAGTCTACATTGTGACTGGTCCGCCCGCACCGGGCCTTCAGTCCGCCTGGTCCACTTCCTGAGTCTACAGTCTAGATGGACCACCCGCACCGGGCCTTCAGTCTATCTGGTCCACTCTCCGAGCCTCGGCACGTCTGGTCCGCCCTCTCGGGGCCTTCAGCCTATCCGGACCGCTCGCCGGGCCTTCGGCCTGACTAAGTGCCCTCCCGGGTCTGCAGTCTATCCGGTCCGCCCTGGGTATGTTGGCCTACAGCACGAAGTAGGACCCGCCTCAACCCAACCCAACCCAATCAAAAAAACCATGTGCACATATAACAGATAATCACATAACGGTCTATAGACGAACAAACCGATCTAACAGATCACATAGCATAGCAACATCCTATAACCAGGATACCGACCTAACCGGTCTCTAACATAGCATCATCCTATATACCAGGATACCAACCTACCAGGTCACCGAACACAATACCGTCCTAAGTACCAGGACGCAGATCTAACAGTTCAATAAACATAACGTGCAATATACCCGGATACAAATCCGATAAAGGGCCGGCCTTGGTGTCGTAGACCCTGTCGATATAGTGAGGATAACTCACCTTGAAATGCTGAACTGAAGAGATAAGATCAAATCCAATGCTCAATGCCACGAACCTCACCACGTAACACTTGATGAAACCATATCTATAAGTGCCCAATTTACCAGAATACCCTTGGAAGTCAAACTGGTCAACTTTTGGTCAAAGTCAAAGTCCACAGTCAAAGTCAACAGTCCATGTTGACTCGACTCGCCGAGTGCAGTTCACCGACTCGTCGAGTCCTTCCTGAACTCGAGAAGTCGTGAAATCCTTGCTTGACTCATCGAGTTTCCCTAGAACTCGCCGAGATCATACGTGTCTAGAGGTTGGGGAAAACCCTAGCCGACTCCCAGAGTCGTTCGATTGACTCGCCGAGCCCAAGGCAATCTTCATCCGACTCGCCGAGTTGTTCATCAACTCGACGAGTTCATGACCATCTTCATAAGAATCGCCGAGTTGACCATGCAACTCGCCTAGTCCTTACAGACCTTCATCCATGCATACACTTTTTAAGCCATGCCAAGGTTCCAGGTTACAGATCCAGGCTTCTAAGGCATGTTTATCACGTAAAGTTGCAAACTTTACACGCATGCAAGGCCCTAGAGGCTCTAAATGGCCAATCTAAGCTTCTAATGGAGCTTTAAACCTTAGGAGAGTCTCTTCCTTGCAAGGGCTGGAAACTTTATGGACTTAGGTCTTAAAAGAGGTTCAGATCTGAAGTTTCAACTTCAGATCTAGCTCCCATACCATAATCCCTTCATGAATAGCTAAAGAAAACCCTAGTCTTCACATATGAATGATTCTAGAAGAAAAGAGGTCAAGGTAACAGCTGGTTACCTCCAAAGCGTGCCCAAGCTACAGTAGATTCTGGATCTACACGAATTCCTTGATGCTAGCCTCTTGATCTACAAGCTTCCTTCACTAGAATCACCTTTCAAAGCTCAAAACTCTCACCAATGGCTCACACACGATTTTAGGGTTTACTGACTTTCAAGGGGTAACAAGGAGGCTGGGGGTGAGGACATAAGGTCCTTTAAATAGGATGCAAACCCTAAAATTTAGGGTTTTCTCTTCCCAGTACTGACTCATCGAGTCCAGCCGCCGACTCGGCGAGTCGGGTCACTTAACACGTGCCCAACACCCGCTTCGACTCGGCGAGTTAAGATACCTACTCGTCGAGTCTACTTCTTTATTTACACTTAGCACCCCGAACTTATATTCCTGAATTCGGGATGTTACAAAACCACAAAAGATCATGGCCATGTTACGAGACTTAATCTTCTACAAATAATCAATGAACCTACCTCAGCTGCAATCACTTACGGATTCGACATGAAAACTGATATAACTCACAACATAAATGTGCTCATGTTTGATTTGGGTGGTGGTACATTTGATGTCTCTCTTGCCACAATTAATAACAATGGTAGGACAACACTGAAGGCTGTTTCCGGTGACACTCATTAAGGTGGTCAAGATTTTGATAACACAATGGTGGACCATTTTATGATGCAATTCAACCAAAGGCACAAGACAGACATGAGTGGGAACATAAAAGCAATGGGGCGGTTGAGGGTAGCTTGTGAAAAAGAAAATGGAACTCTCTCTTCAAATACTGAAACTACTATCGAAATTGATGGTTTGCATTAGGGTGTTGATTTATCTATGAGAATAACTCGTGCAAAATTTGAAGATCTTAATGGAAATTTATTTAGTAAGTGCATATAGTTGGTGGAGAAATGTTTGGGTGATAGTGAAAAAACAAGAAAGATGTAAATGAGGTACTACTTGTTGGTGGGTCAACTAGGATACCCAAAATACAACAATTGTTGAAAGACTTCTTCAACAGGAAAGAGCCTTCTAAGAAAATCCATGCTGATGAAGGGGTTGCATATGGTGCAGCAGTTCTTACTGCAAAGTTAAGTGGTGAAAGGAATCAAAAAGTGAAGAACTTAGTGTTGTTGGATGTTGTTCCTCTTTCACTTGGTGTAAATCTGCATGATGGCTCTTTATCTGTTATAATCAAAAGAAATTCCCCAATACTAGTCAAAAAGGAAAGAATATATTTTCCTAGTATGGATAAGCAAAGTAGTATAACTTTTAATGTCTATCAAGGTGAGAGAAGTAGAGCTATAGATAATGACTGGTTAGGGAAATTTCAAGTTGCAGTACCAGTTGCACTAAAGGGTAAATCAAGGATAAATGTGGTCTCTGAAATTGATGTTAATGAGATTTTAAATTGCTCGGCTGAGGAGTTAACCACTCGCCAAAAGAAAAAGATTAGAATCAGCGATGACAAGCAGAGACATTCAAAGGAAGAGATCGAAAAAATGTTGAAAGATGCTGAAAAGTACAAACTTAATGATGAGGAGTATAAAAAGAAGGTTTTTGCACATAATGTGTTGGAGGAATACATTTACGACGTGAAGCCCAAAATTAAAAGCATTGGAAGCATTGATAACACAAAGATCCACAAGGAAGAATTGGAAAAAATGGAAAATGTCATAAAGAACGCAAGACACATTCTTGATCTAAGCAAGCTTGCATATGTGGATAAGTATGAGAAAACACTAAATGAGCTGGAAAAGGTATGTGTTCCAATCATTGCCCAACTTGTGAAGTAAGATTTGTCGATGGTGGACAACGAGTGGTAACGTGGTAGTAATGCTTTTATTATAAGCTATGGGCTTGTTTTTATTTTTCAATAAGAGTTGGACATTGTTCAACATTAAGCAATGATTTTGATTTCATCATGAGTGTATGAATGAGATTTATTTCTCCTTTTTTTTTCAAGTTTGTTACGTATGTATATAGCACAAAATTTTCATATGAAACGCTTATTTCGTTTTCGTACATTCGTGAATAATTGTATCTAGGTGAGAACGAAAGAAAATAAACAGAAAAGTATTGAAACTCTGATGAGAAACCGAAAATTAGGGTTTAATGAAGTGAGAGCAAAGATTATTTAGGGAAGAAGAAGATGAAATTGATTAACAAAGAAACTCCTTGATACCCCAAACATATCTCAAACTTGTCCCTGATATGATCAAGCTTACACGAGGTTTTGAGCAAATTCCTTCCTAAGACCTTCTACAAATTAAATGTCTTGTATCCAAGCTCAAAAAATTCTCCACCATCACTACCAGAATATCCCAACATCTTACATCCCCCTTTAAACTTCAAAGTTTCACCTTCATATGCCACAACAACAAATAAGCCAGAGAATTCTAAATTTGCATGGATGCCCATTGGAATTTGGACTTCCTCTTGAGCAATTGATTCAAGATAGCAATTGCCACCTTTTGATGTGCTGGACTCACCCTTTCCCGCTATTAGTATCCTAAATTTTCCCTCAGTGCAACTGTGAAGATAACCCAATTGCTTCCCACAAGAAAAACTTAACCCCTTTTTCCTTCTTTCTTTCCATTTTATTCTTAACACCCCGGTTACACTGAATCGCTTCTGTGAAATCAGTCCCACAAGAAGGTCGTGATCCAGGAGAAAAACTATTGCTTTTTCCTTGAAACGAAGGTTTATTTAAACCCGCTAAATGGTGTGGCAAATCGAATTGAAATTGATTTCAGGTGAGAGATTCATAACTATGGGCAATACGCTGATAAGGAGTGCCGTGAATGCTGGAGTACAATGTTTTGTCCCGGATACATCTATGACTATGAGGGTCTAGTCCATAGAACTCTGGTCCAAAAGCAAATCAATCCATAGGCGCAACGAGAACTTCACGTATATAAAAGAGGAGTAGAGCCAAGAGAACACATTTGATTGTCAATATGAGATTGGAAACCTACGACTTAAGTTATTTCCTGTTTTACCCCATATTGGGCCTTTTAGACATGACTCTGGCCTTAATAATTTGGGCCAATTAATTCTGGATTCCTATCACAGTTCATTCTAAATCTGAATCTGTAATCACTTTTGAATCCTTTCAATCAATGTTTGAATCAACCAACTTAACTTATCTGCTGGAGCTAGTGTTGCCAATAGCAACGATCCGTTTTTCTTACACAGCTCCCATAGTCCAAGATTAAGTAGTGTCTTAACCTTTAATCGGAGAAAACTGAGCAGAACAATGTTGATCCTGGATCTTGAATTCTGTTTCAAATGAAATTTCTGTTTGGATGAATAAGAAAGTATTACATGACACCTCTATATAAAAACCTCTATATAAAATACATTGATGCATTGGGTATGGGCAACATGTACAACATGCTATGACACCATTTTGGTGTCATCTCACATGCCACACCACCAATAGTGTTATAACACCAAATGAGGAAATAGTCACCATATTATAACATGTTATAACACACATTATTTTCCATTTCATAATTTCTTTTTTATTATTTTTTTCGAGTTTTTTTAATTAAAACAAATATATTTTTATAAAACAAACATATTTAAATAACAAATAATATTTAAAAACTAAAAACACATAAAATTTAAATCCTAAATAAAACATAACATTAATTCCTAAAAATGACATCAAAAAAAAAAAAGATAGTCCTAATTTAAATACGTAACACGACACTCATTGCGTAAATATTTTTTTGAAGATTCTATCATTCATAAACCTCAGGGCGACAAATCTTCCTCACTAGTAAGAAGCATCGTCAAATGGTTCGTCATTTGTTCTTGCTCGTGTTGCCCCCTTTCCTCTCGTGCATGCCTTTCAAGGAACCCCAAGTGTCCGACGTTTAAACTCAATCTTTTCTTTTTGCAATAAGTTGTGCTTATCGAACTTCGCTTTCATTTCCGCCATATCTCTTGTTTTCGCCTCAACCTCTTCTACCTGTTTTGCAGTGCGCCTTGCTTTGTCGTGTGCAGACGGTGCAGAGATCGCCTCGACATCATCCGAAATATCATCCGTCTCGGTGTTCGATATGAGTTTGCGCGTCCGAAACGTCAAATGAACTGGAATTTCTCATTCGTTTGGATTGAACCTTAGACATTTAGGAGTTTTATTCCACTTTGGATCCGCTCTCACCAACTCGTATGATTTCTCAAACTCGAACACATGTCCCATTATGATTCGATATTATTCTTTTGCAGATTTGAACAAATCAAAGTCATTGGTTCCACTCTATTGTTGTGCCTGAAAGCCTGGTGTAAATATCATTGAATTTTGTGCGCCGCTTAGTTATCTGACTCCATTTGCTGCTTAGCGTGTCTGTATTGCGATACAGTTTTTTTCTTTAACATAGCGTGGAATTTTTACGCACCACCTCCCAATTAGCACATTTCTTCGTATCATTTCCGCAGAGTTCGTCTTTTGAAGTACTACACCATGTCGCAATCAAAGCATATTTGTAACATCCCAAGTTCGGGAGCAAGAAATTGAAGGGTGCTAAGTGTAAATTAAGGAAGCTACTCGACGAGTAGGTATGCTACTCGTCGAGTTGGAGCGGGATTTGATCGCGGGTTAAGTGGCCAACTCGCCGAGTCGGAAGATGTACTCGACGAGTTGGTGCTGGAATGAGGAAACCCTAATCCCGAGGGTTGCACCCTATTTAAAGGACTTTATGTCATCCTCTCAGCCTCCTAATCCCCCAAAGAGTTCCAGCAAACCCTAATTTCGTGTGAGACTTCATTGTTGAGGAGATTGGAGCTTGGAAGAGGAATTTGGTGGAAGGAGCTTGAGAAATTAGAGGTTGGCATCAAGGGGCTTGTCTAGATCTGGGATCTACATCAGTTTGGGCACATCTCAGAGGTAAGGAGCCATTATCTTAAGCTATTTCCTTTTTGGGTTCATCCTTGGTGGTTGATTTGGAGTTCCTTAGCTGGTTTGAGATCTATTTTGGGTTTGGAGTTTAGATCTGAGGTTGCTACTCCAGATCTAAGCTTGTGATGGTCCTTAATGCCATAAAGCTCTTGTCTAAGAGTTATTGGTGAAGCCCCTTTGTCATAAACCCTAGCCCTAGAGTGTTTTGGGCTTATATCTCCTTGGTTTCACGTAAAGTTTGCAACTTTATGTGAGGGTTAGGCTGTAGAAGAGTGGATCTATGGATTGGAGCCCCTGCATGGCTCGAAAAGCCTATGTATGGATTGAGAACTAAAGAGACTCGGCGAGTCACATGGGTGTACTCGACGAGTTGTATGAACATGTGCATTGACTCGGCGAGTTGGAAGAACAACTCGACGAGTCTGTTGAAGATTGTCTTGGACTCGGCGAGTCTGGTCGCAGAACCCAACCTCTTTTGGTAAAAGCTTTGGATTAGTGAGTCGGTTGGCGACTCAGTGAGTTGGGCAGGATGGAATTCCGAGATCGTTGCAGTCGACGAGTCTTGGGGCGAATCGGCGAGTTGAGTCGTGTTATGGGAGTTTTCTGAGTATGAGAACTCGACGAGTCGACGGGTTAACTCGGCGAGTAGAGTCAATCAGGAAGGTTGACTTTGACTAAGGACTTTGACTTTGACCAAGAGTTGACCAGTTGACTTCCAAGTGTATTTTGGTAATTTCGGTATTGGTTCCTTAGTAGTGTGATGTGGTGAAGTTCGTGTCGGTGGTCGGAGCAGCTTGGTCGTATCTCTCCAGTCGGCAATTGCAGGTGAGTTATCCTCACTATATCGAGAGGGTCTACAGCACCAAGGCTGACCCTTTATCGGATGGAAATCCTGGTATTGTTTGTTATGTTATTGCTTTGCTAGATTTACATCCTGGTGTTTAGGGTGGTGTTATGTTAGTGACCTGGTTAAGGTCGGTACCCGGTATATAGGGTAATGTTATGTTAGTGACCTGGTTAAGGTCGGTACCTGGTATATAGGGTAATGTTATGCTAGTGAGCGGATAGGTCGGAATCCTGGTTAGGATGTTGATATGCTATGTGATCTGTTAGACTGTTTTGTTTGTTATGTTATTGCTTTGCTAGATTTACATCCTGGTGTTTAGGGTGGTGTTATGTTAGTGACCTGGTTAAGGTCGGTACCCGGTATATAGGGTAATGTTATGTTAGTGACCTGGTTAAGGTCGGTACCTGGTATATAGGGTAATGTTATGCTAGTGAGCGGATAGGTCGGAATCCTGGTTAGGATGTTGATATGCTATGTGATCTGTTAGACTGTTTGTCTGGTTAAGGATTTGTTATGTGATTAATTGTTTTATGTGCACATGGTTGTTTGACGGGGGTTGGGTTGAGGCGGGTCTTGCTTTATGCTGTAGGCCAACATACCCAGGGCGGACCGGATATTCCGAAGGCCCAGCGAGCGGTCCGGATAGGCTGAAGGCCCCAAGAGGGCGGACAGACGTGCCGAGGCTCGGAGAATGGACCAGGCCGACTGAAGGCCCGGTGCGGGCGGACCAGTCATACTGTACACTCAGAGAGTGGACCAGGTGGATTGAAGGCCCGGTGCGGGCGGACCAATCAAACTGTAGACTCGATGTACATGGCTAGACTCGGAGGGTGGACCAGGTGGACTGAAGGCCCGGTGCGGGCGGACCAGTCACACAGTAGACCCGATGTGCATGGTTGTTCTATTTGTGATATGTCGACGAGTATGTTTATGTGTGGTTGGTATTTTGGGGGTGACTCACTAAGCTTTCAGGCTTACAGTTCAGTGTATTGTTTCAGGTACTTCAGGAGATCGTGGCAAGGCGAGGGCGTGATCGTACC